CGGTTATCACTTAACATCAGGTGAAATGACAGCTAGTTCGCCGTCTTTTCATATATAAAAAAAATAGAATTATTCTAGCGGGAGTTTAATTGTTTTATGTATCTAAACCTGTCATCGTCTAACTGATGAACTAATAACCACCGCACAAATTAGAAGCGGTGGCTGAGACAGTCGTTCACGCGCGCCCACGGTACGCTTTCGTCACAACCGCCAGAGTATTCCACCACACGATATCGACTTAGATAAAGAAGTTGTCATATAAAACTGGCGACGATGCGGTCTCAGCGCCATTCCTCTCCTACATTTCTTAACGAGAATTACATGTGAAGTAATCACTACATAGTATAAAACAAAGTCGTCGCGCTGTCTGTCTGTCCGTCCATATGTATGATTAGATCTTTAAAACTATGCAACGGATTTTGATGCCGTTTTTTTTTACTTGATAGTGATTCAAGACGAAGGTTTAAGTAAATATAAAACATAGACATATGAAAAAACATGTCATAAACTATTGTATGAACTCAGTGCTGAACGCTTCCTGCTCAAATTGATACTCAAGTTAAAATCTAATAAAGACGGCTGTAGCATGGAAATGACAGATATGCAAAAACATAAAAATAATAACAATGGATTACTTTTATTATATATAAAAAAGTTTATTAATATAGTTCGCTACAAAGAAATAGGTATTGGTACCTATTTCTTCAAAAAATCTAAAAATTCTGGATAAATATCTAGAATCAGAGTCCTATTTTTAAAAACGTCTATACGTCTACAATCCCTAAGGTATTGTCCATCGGCGACGATAATCACTTAACATCAGGTGAACCGCCTGCTCGATTGACAACTTAAATCACGGTCAACTAATCTTAGACAAAGGGTACATACATAACCGTTTATCCCGAAATACCATTTATAGAAATAAACAAAATTCACACTGAAATCAATGTTGATAAAAGCTCGAGTAAATAAAATAATACGAATACTCTTTCAGACTTTGCTATTTATTTATTTATTTACTTCACCAACAAGGTGCACATCAAAACATGTTTAGAAATATATAAATAAGTAAATAGTATCTGAAACGAAATGGTATCTTAATTAAAGGTGGAACGACATGCAAAAGTTATTACATTGACAATAGCTAAAAAAAAAGAAATTCAATTAAATTAAATGCTAACAAAAGATTAGTATAATATTTTTTCTGACCAAAATTAATTAACATATAATAAAAACAATTACCAATTACGCTTGAAATTCAAATAATAGTCGGACGAATACATAACCGATCAGTAGTATTGGTTGTCGAGCCGCAGACGCCCACGCTCTCTTTGTCTAGAGGTAAACACTATTTTATTGAGATATAATTAAATCTCATGCACTTCTGACTAACACTCAAGGCGCAAACATAAAACAATAGAGCTATTTTATAATTATACAACTTAAAATAAACTCAACCTACACATCATAATCGGTTAACGTGGAGGAATAATCTATACTATATATAAAAGAGTAGAAACGGCGTGTCTGTACATTGAATATATTTATGAAAAAAATAATTTTACATAATTAAAAAAACATAAAAAAACTGAGTAAAATATCGATTTTGCTTCCTGCCTTTTTAGGAACCGCTATAACATAAATTCAAAATATAATGTTTAATCAATAAAATAAAACCTTTCACAATAAATAGTTAATGTAGGATAACATTATCCTTTTTTGTAAACACAATTATCTGTGGGTGACACAAATAATTTTCCGTCTGGGAATCGAACCGACGACCCCCGGCGCCAAAGTAACTTGGCAAGTGCGCCACCGCGTCATAATATATTTAAAGGCGATATCGGTGGAAGAGGACTAGGGAGTTCCAAATTCGAACATGAGTCTTCGTTTCTTGCACTTCATACTTGTAATGTGCACTGTGTGAAAGTAACAGTACTGACCTTCGCGATGTAGAAAGGCTTCGCCTAGAGAGAAGACCTGCGTTCAGCAGTGGACTTGACAGGTTTTAATGATGATTGTTATAAAGTGTTATAAACATATCAACGTAACTAGAGTTTTATCTTTGCCCGTAATTATTTTTATTTACGGATAAGGTATGCATAAAAAAGGCGAAAATGTCAAAATAATGTATTAAGTGATTTCGCGTAGTGTTGTACCTACTTATCAGAAAAATATTTCGACAGACGTCTTGAATCCCTTGCGTATATTTTTATAAATTATTATTAACATCAAGGATGTTAATATGTTGATCAATATATACGTACACAATACACACCTGCTTTCTTTTTTGTTTTATGTAATTACATTCATCGGGAATCGTGAAGCGCCCCAAGTGTAGATAGTACATAATTCGATTAGATTTATTTATACAGATCACTACACGAGGATAAATATACATTGGAAGATAATTTGCGATGAATTTAAAACTTTCAGTAGTCTACTATAATCGACACTATTATAGTTGAGACTAAATAATAAAAAAAAATGATCAAATATTTGTTTTTCGAACAAAGACCTAATGTCTTTGAAATTAATCTTAGAAATTAATCAAACATTATAAAACAAAAATAAGAAATGTATGATATTTACAGTATATGTTCAAATGGCACGTATACAACCTGAATAGGTTTAAATCTTTTTATACAAAAAACCTACGCAATTTAAATCAGGACAGTTGGAATGAAAGTCTACGTATCGTACAAATATCGGTTTGGTCCGAAATGAGAACACGCGGGCAATAAAGCGATCGTTACTAGCGTAGGCGAATTAGGCGGGGCAAACAACTTCAAATGCAAAAGTCGCTTTCATTAGTACAGAATACACTACAAGTAAAACATTTTTTTTTTAGAAGAAAAAAAACAGTTTTTCATTTGATTTTCCTGATGTCTCTCCAGAGCCCGAGGTTCAATACTAACGAAATTAACATGGGAAATTAACAACGGACCACATGGGAGCTAAGCCGAATCCACTGCAGTTTTGAAAATCGATTCATAAATGACAGTGTTTTGAGGTAACAAACATTATTATAAATAGAACCGAATTGAAAATCTTCTCTTTCTTTAAAGTCGGTGAAGGAAGGTCGTATGCAGTGTGCCTTAGGATGGTTGTCAGTCGACCACCGTGTGTTCACGTAGATTTCTGCACGACTACTTTGAGGTATCAGTTACAACTTAGGGACCTACAAGAAGACCTATTTCTAATACGGCGGTGCAACAGCTAACACTGTTGCGTGGCCCTACCACCGTAATTATGCGTACTTGTATATTGATTTAAAAGACCAGCTACACAAGATGCTAATCAGTTTTGGGCCTTTGATAATTTAATTATTGCCAACGTTGAATTGGTCGAGGTACTTAATTTATAGAAATTTTCATACATTCAATAATGTGAGTACTATATTACTTTTTTTTAGTATCGGGAGGGAAATCTTCAAAAGATAGATACCCTGTCACCTTACATGACAGGGTTATATGGGGTTCGTACCCATTAAAACTGGCCACCTAAGTTTAAGGGACTCCGTGAACTACGAAACGCACCGGTGTCCTTCAGTACTGCCCGTGAGCATCCACAACAGCTCGATTGCTTAGTACTCCTGCCCGTCCTTGTACTGAATTACTTAAATAAACATCACGATTTGACGACAATAATTATTGTTTTATATTCACAGGAAATAGAGATACAGCATTTATTTTCAATTTTGATATAAATAGTCACGGATTTGATTTTTTTTTGTTATATGGTTATTGAGATCGTTTGAAATGAAAGTTATAACAGGGTGACAAAAAAAATGTGCTAGTGAACTACTCTGTTGTCTCACGAACCCAAATCCGTAAACATAATAAAAAAACTCGAGCGTTCTACTTCGCTTAAGCCTCGCTAAGTGAAAAACGTGATTGTGTCCGCTGACATCCGTTTCTTTTGTTGTGTTCTTTGTGACCGCTCGAATGGACATTTCACGGATAATGTGGCAACCGGATGAAAAAGAGACTCATTTTCTATTTACGTCGCGAAATTTATGTTAATATAGAATGAAATACTTGGAAATGGCTTATTTCCATCAGACGTCGATTCGGATTCGGCTTACTCGTGTGTTCCAATCTCGCGTGATGCGCACGAGTTTTTCCTAGTGATTGCTTAAGTGATGACTCCCTGTTATGTTAGAGGATTTATTAACTCATTAATTTATGAATAGACTGGCTATCCATACCACGTGCTATGTGGCGGTCGCCTTATGTTATGTGATTACCGCCACCCGTGGACACCCACAGCAGTAGTGCGGCGCCATTGCACTTCCAACCTTCTAGACTCTAGAAGGTGCTACAGTCTAGAATCTAGAAGGTGGTTAACTAACTCACTAGATGGACCGTAGTATACCTATATACTTTTACTTTCCATCCCCGGACTAGGAGAACAAGCCTCCCTATCCATAAATAAAGCTGCTGCATGGCTTTATTGCAGTAGAAATATTTGAGGGACTATATAAAATTAATAGAAAACACAACATTTACGCTGATCCACATCAACTTCACTCTAACCTAGCTCCAAATGCACTTACTACTTCACTAAAATCTTCAAGCTATCCATAGAAAAAATATTTGGATTACAAATTCTGCGGTCAAATATACTCTTAGCAATCCTTCCAGATTATGTTTTACAATCTTTTGGTATAGTTAATAGGTACTTTATTTTGGTTATTATACTTTTCACACTTTTAATTTTTGTAGAATTTCCGTTAGAAATCATCACTGCGGCTTTTGATCTGTAATGTTTTCTCCTAAGGAAATTTACATTTGCCACTAAAAAAAACTTTCGTCTCTTGTATCTTGTATTAACTGATATCTTTGCTTTCAGTCCCGAGACTATTTAAAGCTTCATCTGACGCAGAACCGGTGGGCTAGCCAGAACCCACGGGTTTGGGCCCTCCGCCGTGGGTAGGGCCACAAAACTTTCGTATTTTGACCGTAACAGTAGATACAGTGGGGCTTTAGTGACGCCTAGTCAATGTTTATCGGAAGCGCCATTGGTGATGCTGTGACATTGGCGTCACGCGAACGGTCGCCGCGGGAAAAATGCTCAGCGGGCAGCCAAATAACGCGTGCGATAGTTAGGGGCCGGCGTCGCGGCGCCTCTATAAATATCCCGACATAACCCTCCCTCCCCCTTGGCCTCTGAGCGGGTTCCCCTCCGCTCTGCTGCGCCCCGTACGCCTGACTATCGCAATAACATAAAGACAAAGTGTAAATCACCAAACGGACGTCCCGACGTCACGTGTGGATGCACCGTACCTACCGTCCGATTACCGCAAACCCGTTAGGCGAACATTGGCCGGGAAGCTAGACAAAACGTCACTATAGTCTTTTACACGGAACATGAACGCAAACATATAAGCTAAGCGTCGTTGGTTTAAGCTTCCTATTTGAATTCGCAAAACGCAATTGCGAAAGCACGTGACTCAGCCGACGGTGCCGAATAGTAAATGCATTTGTCAATTATTAGCGATAGTAGAAAAAGACTGTTTTAAAGTTTGCTGCTGCCCGAATGGGAAGGTCCGTCGGGGAAATACCAAAACCTCACAGAAAACAGGCGTGAAGTGGAAGTGTTATGTTTCGTCTGGTGAGTGAGGTAACCGGAGCCTCCATTACACGGGTGTCAACGCACCTGCAACCCTCCATATTGTAAATGTCCATGGGCGGCGGCTTTCATTTACCTTAAGATGAACTGTCAGGCAGAATGTTTGCCACCTTCTCGCATAAAAGAAAAAAGAAAACAAGGAAGTAAAAAAGAAACCAAGAGAGTGTAATAGACGAGCGTAGAATATTTACGTGCTGCCTGCCTTACAATTCGAGGCTAAATAACCTTAAAACACACGACAACCTAAACTGGGCTCAGGTACGACCGAATACCTCACAAATACAACAAACACGTGGACGAAGCCGCCTCTAAGACCAAGATTTGTTTTTAACGAACCAACTGTGAGCCAATCGAGTCCGCATCCCGGAAGCTCGGCACGAATAATAGTGATGTGCAGCGTCCAGATCATTGCGTACCGACCACCCAACAAAACTAATTGAAATCATGCACATACCTATTTTAAACTTTCAAGAAGAGATGTTATCATATATTACAACTTATTATCGAATTGCAGACTTAACCAAGAACACCTATACGTACAAGCTGTTACGTACATCGGATTAGAACGATTAATAAAAATCGACGGTAACTCAGGTTGTGTTGTAGGACATACAATAACAATCCAGTTCGTCTGAGACCATGAACGCTGTCTTTTGTTAAACGATAATTTAAAAATAAATCCGCGTTTCCAACCGTAAAGGTTATAGTTTTTATTTAACCTTAAAGAACATAATATCCATTGAGTGATAGAACATGTCCATTATAGATAGTGAACGCTTGCCATCCCTTTATTAAAAATGAAGGGCCTAGATTGAATCGGTTGTCAAACAATTTTAAACGAAAATTAAAAACATTTTTTAAGAATATAAAAACACCCATGCATGTAACAATAAAATACACAATTTTCTGTGCTTTTTTATTATAATATATTTTATTTAGATCAGCGATCAGACAATAAAATACGATACAAACGTCACCACATTCTATCAAACTATGCCATTGTACCTACAATCATATTGTAGAAAAAACTAGAGAAAAAGTAATTTTAAATAATCTTTGATGAAATTAGGTTTTAGTTTATTAGCAAAAATTGAAAATAACGATGTGAAGGCTGAGCTGATTTATGAGAAAAACAGTACGCCCCAGTTTCTAATTTATAAATATACTAACCAATGCTCGTGACTTTGTTCGAGTGTGTTCTCTGAACAATCCCCAGTACCAGCTTACATATTTCATTCGTTTATCAGTTATTTGGAAGATGGGTTATAACCGCGACTTGGTCCACGTGGATCTAGCACCGGAATTAAAATGAAGCCTTAAAAATTACATTCATATCCGAAACCTGCATGATGGTGGTACACGGAAATTTATTTATATATTGGAATATAACATAAATAGTTCAGTGTTTCTTACGATTACACATTTATATTATACGGTAAAATCTGTAAATACGTTTCTACAGATATTCCATTTAGTTATAGGACTTCTACACAACCCACGCATATCACGCGAAATACATATTGTACCGTTCGACCTCGGTCACCAGTCATGACAAATTTAGTGTTGTCAAAATTTGAGAGAAACGATGCAGTTGAGAAGGGAGCTTGCACGAGCATCCCTGAGCGTCATCACGCCGCTGGCGAAGAGCGGCGGGCGGGAGATGCCGCGAGTGATCGCTCTATTTCCGTCCACGCAGCAGTTGAATAACCTCCAATCAACTATTCGCACTTGCCTCGCCTACGATCACCGCTGACACGGATAGAACGGACAATGGCGATTCACATACCGCCTTCATGCGCAATGAAATCAAAATTTAAAAAGCTTAAACGTTGGCCTCATAGCCTCTTTAAAAACAAGGATACTAACGCTTTTACGGCCCTTGAGAAAATGATGCAAACGCATAATTTATAACTAGTAGTCTCATACAACTTAATTAAAAATAAATATATAGAATTTAATTAAAATTCCGAAACATATTTTTATGTAGGTATATATGTTCATCAATATCCAAAAATATGCTTATAAAAAAACCGAACTAAAATAAGAGTTGATATATGACACTTAAGTTCAAATTTTATTTATTTATTTAATCAAACTATAGCTTTAATTATTTAGTCATATACTGCATCTTCTAAATTTTAACCAAAACTGTAATCAAATTCAATTAATTTAAGTTAAGTAACAGCCTATAAATGTCCCAAAGCTCGGCAGAGGCCTCCACCGTGCGACGACACTGCGGATTGGCACATTGCAATGCATACTAAAACATATGTGTCGAATGTGTTAGTTCTAAGTTTTTCAAATGTAACGAGTGCAAGGCGTTCGATAATGGAATCACCAATCCGCTTACTAAACATGATGATTCCTTCCAGACAGCAAGAATCCACCGCAGTGTAATAACAGAATATGTAAATCTGTTTATATTCAAATACTCCGTGCCAAAGATATTAGTCAAGGCTAAGATATTGTATAGTCTATTTTATATACTTGGGGCAAATAATCTCTGAATTGATTGGTACTTTGTCTTGAGAACTATGATACTTTGAAAATATACGTGATACTAAAGCACTTCACCGAGTTGAAGAAAGCTTCTGAAAGTTAAAATGTGTGGGGTAAGACACAATAAATTTTCAGCGAAATTACACGACTACTATAATAGTGCAGTACCTGGAGGACCGAGCTTTACTCGTTTTTCAATGGTAAATCATGTATTTTGGAAATAAAAAAAATTAAAAAATAAAGAAAGCAATGATCTGGTATAGAAAAAAAAAGTAAAAAAATAAGTGTGTAAATGATCGTGATACGAATCGCGGCCGTCTGTTTTGGGGCCGCTCGATTACCGACAGACCTATTATAACAAATTTTTTGGCGTCGAAATTTACCGTCATATTCGAATGATATTTTTCATTTCCTGAAAACAGGGATAAAACGACATTTTCTAAAAATGAAACCTTGCTACATCCGATTCCGATTATATATAATATACAAGAATTGCTCGTTTAAAGGATAAGATTTAAAATAAGATATGAGAATTCAGTAACATGTCTTTTGAGATGTAAAATATTATACAAAAAAGGAAATAACAGCCTATATAATTATTTCCTTATTGCTCAGCAAAGGTCTGTACTATACAGTGGCGGCCCTATCCACAGCGGAGGGCCCAAACCCGTGGATTCTGCCTAGCCCACCGGTTCTGCGTCAGATGGAGCTTTAATAGTCTCGGGACTGAAAGCACAAACATCAGTTTATACAAGATACAGGATCTGTACTATTCCCTCTGTACTCGTCTGTACAGAGGGTATCAAGGCCACCACGCGACCCCACTACGAGTTGGCAGACTTGACATATCTTCGATTTTTTTTTTAAGATTGAGTAGCCAAAGGGTAAATCGGGATCCTATTACTAAGATTCCGCAGTCTGTCTGTCTGTCCGTCTGTCACCAGGCTGTATCTCACGAACCGTGATATTTAGACAGTTGGAAGTTTTCACAGATGATGTATTTATGTGGCCGCTGTAACAACAAATACTAAATAACAGAATAAAAAAAGATTTAAGTGGGGCTCCCATACAACAGACATGATTTTTTTGCCATTTTTATAGATAACTAGCTGACCCGGCAAACGTTGTTATGCCATATAAATTATTTGTAGGTTAGAAAAAAATGTTTTGGGTGGACCACCCTTAACATTTAGGGGGATGAAAAATATCTTGTCCGATTCTCCACCCTGGTCTATATACACACAAAATTTCACGAAAATCGGTCGAGCCGTTTCGGAGGAGATCAATTACAAACACCGTGACAAGAGAATTTAATTTATTAGATAGTAGGGTAACCTTGATGCGCGAGTCCGACTCGCACTTGGCCGCTATAGAGATATAGTTCGGAAGAACCCTTCGTATACGAGTCCGGTTCGTCGCATTTGGCCGATTCTTTTTGTGATTATTTCAAAAATATGTAGGTTTTCTCACGTTGTTTTCGAAGACAGCACTTAAAATTAACAATTTCATTGTTGTTGGCACCGGTATTTGAACTCAGATTGCTCAAGTACATTGAATTAAATACGAGCGCCCGGACACTGGGCTATGACGGCTCCGACACAAAGGCAACATTTTAAACATCGGCTTATAATTAAAGTAATGATGGTCACGAAAACGTCGGACTAATAGGTTGCTCTTCATTGCAGTTTCAGATGAAAACTTCTGAAAATACACATAAACATGCTATACCCAGAGACTTATTGGACATTGTATGCTACATTAAAATGAGCGTTATTATGTTAAACTGCCCATTACAAAAAATTATAACCCGATCGCTGGGAACGAGCCGGCAGAATAAACAACGCAGCGCGTCGCAGTTGCATATTTTTGTCGTAAAACTTTATAATTTGGCAAAGAGTATAGTTTGAAGCCGATGGACGTGTCAGAAATAGAACATAATTCCGTGCCACTGACTCAACGGTACATTTCGCCCTAATTCATATTTATATAGCGTGTTAAACTGTTACATCGGACAGCTATGTCGGGTATTATGCTCGATTAACTTCAATACACTCAATACCGTAAATATATAAAAATGCAAATATTCGCCACGATTACTAAGCCTACGCTTAGATACTTAAATTTAATATATTATATTAACATTATTTAATTACAAATATATCATTCCCTGGATGATATTAGAAGAGTCGCAATGATCACTGTCGTAGGGCCATATGGCTATATAGCAGCATCTGGTGCTAAACGAATGGACTGTCTCGCGTGGGAAAGCACCATGGCCTCACAGATGATTGCGTGGAAGTATTAGAGTAGAGTAGCCTTTTGTTAGGTAACTGGAGCCAACACGTATGTTGTTTGGCTACGTATTCGCAACCTTATGAAGGTGCTTTAGACCCCCATCTGCGGTAATCACGTAACATTAATAAAACTACCTGCCAGTCTGCAAACTTATTACTTAAGAAACAAAAGTGTAGCAATATCAACTATAATAATATATAATACGAAAGTTGAAGTATATATGAGCAAATTGTACTAGTAGACTTTTAAAGTTTTGTTTTGTTTATGTATGATTTTGAGACATATATCATTATTTTAAGATATAAATCATTCTTCTATGTTTGTATATAAATACATAAATTTTTAGATATTAGAAACTATTAATGATTATTCTCGGGTTATTTTTTTTATGGAAGCATTCTCCTTTGTTCGTATAACAATAAAGCGTTATTCTAAGACTCCGAAACAGCAAAGTTATCAAACAAGAGTAATAATTGTTATCGGTATTTTACAACAAGCGGAAATTATTTTAAATGCAAGGCACCGAACGCAGCCACTGGTATCATCAATTCGGTGACAGGCCACTTTAGTTTGGACGATGGCCAGAGTAACAAGGCAACGGATATTTACAATAAT